TGCTCTGCTGCCTAAGTCACACTGCATGTCAATAACGGGGGGCGGGGAGTGACAGCATTTAACCTTAGCATCTACCCAGCAACTCCACAGTCCAGAAAGAAAACTTGGTGTGGTCAGGGAATGGGGTGCTCTTGTTAAAAATCTCCCCTCATTGTCCCGGTTGGTGTGGCTCAGTGGGTTGGGTGTCATCCCACAAACCAAACGGTCGCCAGTTCGATTCCTGGTGAGGGCACATTCCTGGGCTGTGGGTTCAGTCCCCAGTCAGGGAGCATACAAGAGGCAACCGATCCATATTTCTCTTTCACATTGTTGTTTCTCTCCCTCTCTTTCTCCCTCCCTTCCCCTCTAAAAATAAACAAATAAAATATTTAATTTAAAAAGAAATCTCCCCTCATTCATTTTTAGGTCTCCAGTTTTCACAGAATTAGAAATGGGGATACTGTCTCATAGGATTATGAGGAATAAATGAAATTATGCAACTAAATCCCTCAACATAGTGCCAGGCACGTAAAATACTCCAATGTTTTCACATAAATTCTTCATCCCACAGGAAACTGGCTCTCCTATTCTTCCATAAATGCGTGCAGGGTCCCAGCAGTCCCATACCAGTCCGGGTTTTGCATCTCTCTCCAACCACAGAGAAGAAGCTCCTTTAGTGGGAAATAAAATTTTCTACACTGGCATCAAAAAACACAAGTCAAATGGAGGTCTCTTGAGGACAGTATAATTTTCAGATTAATAAAAGAAAATATTATAACTATACTAATTAGTCACTTGGGGACTCAAGATCCTTAAGACTATTCAATATAGTATTCCTAAGAAAACCAAATGAGATTTTTAAATGAAATTTTACTTTACAAGCAAGTTTACCTCACCAGGGAAATAGAATGTGCATTCTCTTTTCTAGAAGGCATTGCAAAGAATAAAAAGCGAATGCAAAATTCTCTAGAAATGTTTAATAACACTAATGCAAAGATTCTACAGAACATAAGTGGGCTATGTATTGCTTTCATAACCATACCAAATACTGCCTTTCTTCAAAGAGGGACACATGGGCACAAAGGAAAGAAATTAGACTAATCATTTCTAGATATCTGTTAAATTACAGATCTTGCTGAAATAACTAAAAGGTCAAGGATCTGCCCTGACTGCTGTGGTTGGGCACCGTCCTGCAAACCAAAAGATCACCGGGTTGATTCCCAGTCAGGGCACGTGCCTGGGGGGCAGGTTTGGTCCCAAATCAGGGTACATGCAAGAGGCAACTGATCAATGTTTCTCTCTATCGATGTTTCTCCCTCTCTTTCTCCCTCCCTTCCCCTCTCTCTAAAAATAAATAAATACAGTCTTTAATAAAAAAAAAACCAGATTTTAAAAATGTGAAGGATTTGGGTTATAAAGAATAAAACAAAAAATGTTTAGAACTCCTTAAAAACAAATGTTACCTCTTAAAGTCTCAACCACCTAAAATGAACTCCTTCGGCCTGCAATCGCCAACTAAATAATTGGCAGTTATTATAAGAACGAGACCTTTCTGCTTCCATCCAGCCAGAGTAATTAGAAGTCTAATAATAGACAGCACATTAAAAAAATAAATTATCTCCTATGCATCCTCGCCCTGCATGCACACTATTGAGTGAACTCAACGTGAAATCCTGGGTTTGGGGCCAGAGGAGTTTCACCTCCAGCTACGTCGTGCAAACATGACAACACCAAGAAGGTTAAATGTGCAGCGCCTGCCCTTGACCTTCAATAGCCACTTTTCAAAGCCAGAACTTCTCTTTTTTTCTTCTCATTTAATCTTTACTGTATTTTTCCATTACTATTTATCCCCCTCACACCCCCTCCCCTCAGCAATCGCCACATTGCTGCCCACATCCATGAGTCCTTCCTTTTGCTTACTCCCTCCACCCCTAACCTCCCCCCAACCTGCGCCCCCTCCAGCGACCTTTTGCTTTGCAGGATGTGAGGCCAACTCTCTGGTGTCCTCTTAATTAATAGATCAATTCTATTTTAGTTCCTTAAAAAAGGTAGGCCTTACACATTCCAGCATGGTAACTGGAACCTTCCCAGTAGAGAAAAACCATACTAAAGACAACTGTCTCACATCAAAACCATGGAAGCAACCAAGAGTTCTATCAACAGGGGTATTGCACTGCTTAGTAGAAGCTTCGGTTTCTGACCAGCTGGCTAAGTTCCAGGAGTACTCGTTTTGTCAGGACTCTCTTCGGGTAGCTCGGCGATTAAGCTCTGCACTCTGGTCAAGAGTCTCTGGTCTGCAACGACCAACTTGACCCTTGAAAAAGATGACATACTTACAAGGGGACAAGGCTCCACAGACAGAAGGGGACTGAGTAAATGTGCGCGGAGAGCAAACCAGAGACCTTCAGGTGCAGAGCTGCGGCCGGGACATCCAGCGGGAGACCCCTTTTTACACACGGCTCGGCCAGCAGGGCCCGTGACCAGCACCCTGTTAACCAACCTTTGTCCCCTTCGTGGGGCCCTGGCACTCCCTCCTACTTCAGTGACTTCTTTAAAATACACATTTTTAGCATGCGAATGCCTACTTAAAATACATATCTGGAACATGAACTGTAAGCAAAACCAGTCACCTTGGATAGCACAGGCCCTGTTGTGCTTTGTTGTCTGGTACGCTGTCACATACAGTCACTTAAAGTCAACGAGCAAAGACTCACTGAGACCGTACTGCATGGGAGATGTTCTACGGACACACAGACATAAATACAAGAAATAATGGTCCTCTCTGGAGCTTAGGGTTTAGTTGGAAGTTAAAGACACATACATATAAAAAGACAGTCATATACAATAGTGGGAGAAAGAAAAGTGTAAACTGGGCAGGTGAACATATAAATGCTTAATCCAAAGGAACATTAATAAGCATCTCCTGCGTGTCCACAATGGTGTGGAGGGCAATCATTAGGGAAATGAAGGGTGGACAAGACTCAGATCCCTTCTGATTTATGGGACACCTTATACACGTATGCAAAGCACCGTCATAAGATTCTATAAGTCGTAAACAAGGCGACGAGTGCAAATGAGCGCTAGCAGCCAGTACCCACCAAGTCCTCGTCCACCCCCGGGGGCTCTGCAGACCTCCAAGCCACTGCCTGGAAGAGGAGAAGAAACTGCGGTGCTGGTGTGGGAGTGTGCGTAGGGTCGGCACCGAGGAGGAGGAATCTGACAGGTGGAGACACAAGAACATTTCCAGCAGTCCCTGCTCTTAGGGAGTTCATGGGAAGGGAGACGAATGTGTGTGGACGCCACCTTACGTGTCAGAATGCGGTACATGCCACGAGCTGTGGTTAGGGGACATGAAAAGCCTTCTGAGAGGAGACGGCCCTAAAGAATGGAGAAGAGGGGCACACACGTAACCTGCAAGCTATGTGGCCTTCGTCGGGTCACTTACTTCTTACAGGCTTGGTTTCCGTCCCCAACATGGGAGAACGTCAGTGACCAACGCTCTGAAGACTATAAAGTGCTGTAAGAACGTATTATACTCCCAAATAATCCCGATCGTCACTTTCAGAAATAGCCATTGATAAAAACCTACAAGGGTTTTCCTTGGTAACAACCTTGAAAGATAAAAAGCGGGATCACAAGTGACTCACCCTTTAACAGACGAGTCCCAGACTTCTAAAGTCTAAAACGGCGTCTGACTACTTTGAGGGATACAGACAATGTAGGCCACGAAGATTGGCCCTGACAACTGGTGGCTTGTGGTAAGTGACGGAATGACTCTGTCACTTCCAAAGCACACAGTAGCGATCTGAAACATCTGCTTCTTGTGAGAAGCCCAAAGGTCTCAGGCATGGCTCTTGAAACATGGGGACCCCCAAAGGGTGCCGTACGGGAATCAAGGGGCAGCATGGACTGAAGCTAACTTCTGAAGATGAAAAATGGTTTGTCATAAACCTAACACAAATTATAAGCATCCCTACAATAATTCTTTGTAGTCTATGAAACCTTAGTTCCTCTGCATAGTTCTTTCTGTCACTTGTGAGTTTATTTTGTATTAAACTTTATGAAATGATAGTATCACTTTTTACCGCCTTAAACAATAATCGTGTTTTTCACAGAATTGGGTTGGGTCTCTTTTGGGAGCATTTTGATAAATTTGGCCCAAAATACATCAGTGATCAATTTACTGAATTTGCCTACCACCTCCTGCTACGGCTGAATTAAAGAAAATTTGAAGAAGAAATGGAATTTTCTTAAGAGCTGTAAATTCTTAAGAGGTAACCATGTTTCAAAAAGTTTTCAAATATTTGGCTTTTTTCCATCTTCAGTTCAGCTGTGAAATGGGGTGTGTGTGTGTGTGTGTGTGTGTGTGTGTACATATGTTTCCTCATTGTTTCTTAGTAAAGGAATTCTTGAAATTGAAGGTTTAGCTTCTCAGTTTCAGCAGCTGTCATCTTCATATATTTTGATTTATAATAACTCAGGCTCCCAATTGATGTGCCAATGATTTGGGAGCTGGGGAAGCAGATCATCTTCCCCATCACCACCTTCCTTTCCGACTGCCCGACGGACCCTCACCCCGCCTCCGGCCGGCTGGAGGAAAAGGAAAGCTGACTGTGCCACGGCAGAGAGCCGATCCATCCGCCGGGGACTGGCCCTGCCCTCGTCTAACTGTGTCATTATGAACCAGCACTTCCTCTTCTCCAGAAGGAGGGGCTGAACTAGATCGCCACACTACATGGTTAAAAATGCTCACAAGAACTCTTTTTACCCTGGTGAGCAGCCCTAGTAACAGATTTAATGTGGGAGGAGATTTAACCGACTGGGTGAAAAATCAAGCTTTAGAATTCTGTTTTATCTAAGCTGACCCCACAAGGCAAGAAGATCAAGACTTAGCTAAATATGGCCCTCGGGCAAGCTGCAGTTCCCCATCTGCGAGGGGAAGATAAATATAGCACACACACGTTAAGATAAACGGTCAAGTGTTTTGAGCTCTGCAACAGACAGGGCTGACTTTCCAAAAAAAGACAAACCGCAACTTCAGAGCCAGTGCAGTTTCTTTTGTGCACGGTGAGATGGCTTCCCTGGCGGTGAAGGATTCAGAGCTGAAATGCTACACTGTCTGGAGCTCTAATGACACGTCTCTTTCACTCAAACAGAGGTCGGCTGGCCAAAGGCACGCAGACAGAAGGTAAATGTCAGGTCACACTTCCATGTGGTATATTCCTTTTCTAACCTTCTTGGCACAAATGTCATGTCCATAGAATATTCATTCATTCACTTACTCTAACAAGCAGCGGGCTGAACGCTGTCCGCACGCTGGTGAGCATGCACAGGACCCCTGCCCCGCGGGGACGCACAGCGTGCCCGAGCGCCCGGTGCCTCTCAACCAGGGCAGTGCTGCTGTGTGCGGGGCTGTCCTTTTAAATTATATTTTATTGATTATGCTCTTACGATTGTCCTGATTTTCCCTCCTTTGCCCCCTCCACCCAGCACCCCCCACTCCCTCAGGCCATCCCTCCACCATTGTTCATGTCCGTGGGTCATAGGTGTAAGTTCTGTGGCTACTCCATTTCCTGTACTGCACTTTACATCCCCATGGCTATTCTGTTACTACCTATTTGTACTTCTTAATCCCCTCACCTCTTCACCCTTTCTACCCCACCCCCCTCCCATCTGGCAACCATCGAAATACTCCCCATATCCATGATTCTGTCTCTATTCTTGTTTGCTCAGTTTGTTTTTTAGATTCGACTGTGGATAGATATGTATTTATTGCTATTTTATTGTTCATAGTTTTGAACAGGCTGTTGCTTGTTTGAGAGAATTTAGGACGTTGTGAAGCGTGAGCTAAGACCCGCCATTCTATGGAAAAACCACTCTTAACAGCTTGGGTGGGCCTTTAAGTTGGGTGGGGTGGAGCTGGAGCTGACCTCCAGGGTGAAGCAAACAGTACAAGGCAGCCTGATAGAGTCTGGGATATGGCATACCCCAGCTGGCTCTGTGACTCTGTGGGGGCGGGGCGGGGCGGGGGTGAGGGTTCAGAAAAGGAATGATGGCCTCTGCCTACCTTTCTGTCTGGGAGAAAGCTGTCTCCCAGCTGTCGCCTTGATGCCACCAGACACTTCAGTTCCTCCCCATATGCCATTGGTACCTTTCAAGCTGCTATCCTGGTGCTGGAGCTCAGAGGGAGTGAGTCTGAGTAACTCCACGTGTGCATTCTTTAAGAGGAACTGCTTGGGAATCCAGAAAGTTCTTGCACTGACTCAGTCCCCACTGGTTTTTGCAGCCAGTAGTTATGGGAACTTACCTTCCTGGCACTGGAACCCTGAACAAGGGGGGCCTGGTGTGGGGTTGGGACCCCTTGCTCCTGAGATGTCCTTCCCAAATTTTCATCCACCACATGTGGGTGCGGGGCCAGCCCGTTCCATGCCTCCGCCCCTCCTACCAGTCTGGATGGATGTGGTTTCTTTAATTCTGTAGTTACCGCACTTCCACTCGGCTTGATTTCTGATGGTTCTCAGTGATGGCTGTTCTTTACTTTAGTTGTAATTCTGATGTGATTGTGTGAGGTGAGCTGTGTTTACCTATGCCTCCATCTTGACCAAAAGTCTCCAGGGACTGTGTAGAAAATGTGGAAGGTGTTTCTGATTGTCAATATAAATGGGGGGAGAAAATTTGGGGGAGGAAAAAGAATTTTTAACTGCTACAAATTCCTAGGGGGGAGCTGTTTTTCAAAAACTTTTCAAATACATGGCCTTTTTTCCCCCCATAATCTTCAGTTCAGTTGTAAAATGGTATATAGGGTACCCCCCGCTGGCGTCAGGGAGCCACCTGAGGGCATGGCTGGTGGGTGTACTGCCTGGCAGTGATGAATGTGAAAACCCCTTTTATAATTACCCAAATCCAGGACCTAACGCTGGTGTATCTAAAAACACAAAGTATTTTTTTGCACAGATTTAATGAATTTTCTAGGAAGGTAATTTCAGTGCAATCTGAAAGAGAAGGATAGACAGTACTTTATTTTGTTCAAAACATTACAGGAGTTGCTTATGACTGTAGAATATGTACACCACTGGCAATATCGCTCTTTGTATCTGCATCACCAATAAACCACAACCACGGCAGTCACCACTTGTGAGCTGTACCATTCCTGGTAACTCCACCTCTAGGTGTGAGTACTTGACTATTTCATTATGATTTCCGGAGAACTCAGCTCTAAGAATTTAAGAATTTATATTTTTATGGTGAATCACTTTCCTTTTATCTCTCCATATTACTGGTAGGATCTTACATTGATTTAAAATTATGTATATAGAGAAGTTTTATTTCCTGTAGAATTCACCTGAGGACAGGTAAAGGAGAAACACTTGTTATAAAAGGGGGATGAGTCTGATTTGGTTGAGGCACCGAGTCAGGCATTCAACAAGCTGAGACAACAGTGACCACAAATACAAACTGGGACACATGCGATGAAGGAGAAGAGCCAGGTACTTGGAGAAAGACTCTCCAGGATGACCCGTTGGAGGGAGTGACATCTCACCTGAGATCTGAGGGAAGGTTTAGGGAGCCAGATACAGGACAGTGTGGGCAGTAGCCCTGAGGCAGAAAGCCCTGGCAGGTACTGGGAAAAGGCCAGGTGACAAGGTGGGGTCGGAGAACTATCCACCCTGTATCATCAGAGCCCACTGCACTGGAAAGTCAGTAAAACGTTGAGAAAAGGGAGTCATGTTATTTTTTTTTAAGGCCATTCGGGCTGCTTTGTGGAGAATGAATCAGAGGTGGGCAGGCGTACAGGAGAGAGTATTGCAGTAACTCAGGTGACAGAAGAGGGTGGCTGGGATTGAGTGGCAGCAGTTGACAGCTAGAGAAACGGTGGATTCTGGACACATTCTGGAAGGAAACTCGGGCTTGCACAGTGGACTGGCCATGTGGCTAGAGGGCAGGGGGGGGTCTCTGGAATAATCCAGGTTTCATCCTGTGCAGCCGCAGGATCCAGTCCTCACAGAAAGATGAGGAAGACTGAGGGTAGGGAAGCCCATTAGGGAGAAAATTCAAGAGGCCAATTTTGGTCACGTTAAGCTTGAGACGTTGAGAAAACTGTCAGAGCAGTGTACCTGGAGGAGCTCTCTGCCTCTTGCGTTCCAGGCCCCACTCCAGACGCCTCCTTTGGTCTAAACTAGATGCATCTCAGACTCAACACTTCCAAACTAGCCTCATTTGCTCCCCCTCAGATCTGCAGCTCCTCCTGTGCTCACCATCTCAGTAAAGGATGTCAGGCTCAAGGTCCTCGATGTCCACCCCAAACCCAGCAAATCAGTCAGCTGCCCAGCCCGTCTCACTGTCCTTTGCCTCTCCACACTTCCACACCTGCGTAACTCCTGCCCACCTTTCAGGCTCTGGTCTAGAAATCTCTTCATCCAACAAATCCATTCTGATTAAGCAGTGCTAGGTACTTCTGTAGCACCTGGGGCTTTTCCTGTCATTCCCTTTCTTCCGCTGTAATAAGTTTGCTTCTTTTCTTATCTGTCATCTCCACAGGACTCCCTGAAAGCAGGGGACTGTTCTTCAAAGTCTGGCTTACAGTAACAGCATACTATCTTGCTGAGTGGATGTGGGGAGCATGTGGAAAGGTGAAATCAGAAAGGTCAACTGCAGCCAGGTCACGGCCGGCTGGCATGGGGCTGGCCCGCACCGCACCTCAAGAATCAAGAATCCGACTTCTCCAGTAACAGTCTGATTTCTCAGGTTGCCGTCACCACATTCAGCCAAAAATAAAACTGCGGCCTATGATCAGGGCTATTCTGTGGTGCTCCGATGGGTCTGACCCTCCCGCCTGCGTAATGAGAGCTCCAAAGAGAAGAGCCTCAGACTGGGTGATACTTTTGATGAGGGAACTCCAGAGTTAAAGATGTTAGCTGTAGGTAGAGTTGATAGGCAAGTGGTTCATGCAACTGAAACTCATGACCTATGTGACTAGCAATTCCACCTTTGCTCCCCAGGGTTCTGCAAGCGACTGAGAAGGCCTCTGAGCCGTTGTGTTCCCGGGAAGGACAGCAGATACAGAATCGGTGATCAGTAGATAAGGAAATCCTAGGGAAAATCTCTGCAGACTGCAACTCTTGTCTGCAACTCTAACCTTCTTCCAAACCCCTTACTGACCCTTTTCTTCTCCTTATAAAAAGGTTGTCTTGAGATGTTGAGAGAGTTTTTAGGGTACATCACCCGCCACCTTCTCAGATCACCGGCATCTGAATAAAGTGCCCATAAGGATTCAATCCTTGTCTCTGCTAATGGGTTCTGGGAGTGACAGGCTGCACAAACACCAACTCTTCCACTCTCATTTTCAGCATTTTAGTTCCTGCCACTACTTTTCACCACGGCCTCTCATTCACTGTCTTGATACCCATTTTACCTAGATATGAGGGGTGTCACTGACTGTGTACTGAGCATCCTTCTCCTACTTCCTTCTTCCCAAAACTGACTGTTGAGGACCCACTTCTTCATCCAGACATATGCCCCTGAGGACCCTGACCCCGTATTTAGGCAAGCTACAAGAATTCCTGGTTGGATTAATCTCATCACAGAGTTTCGTTCCCCACCCCCTGGCCACAGTCACTGGTTCTCAGATGAGCACGTGACTTAGTAAGTCCACTCAGTTCTGATTACCCAAGGTGGCTCCTCACACACCCCTCTTCTCCTGCTATTCCTCTTCATTCTCTCTCTCCCTCCCTCCCTCCACCTCTCACTCAGCATATAGTTGCTATTCACAGGGCCCCATCTCTGCAGCGCATGAAGACTGTTCAGGGACCCCCTCTGTACCAGCCATTGCTGTAGTCTCTGTATCACACTGGAGTAGAGACCACCCAGGACCAGCTATTTCGAGGGAGGCATGTGTAATAACCAGGCTTCACACTTCCACGGGAGCAGCCCTCTCACCCTTTCCAACACTTGGACTACTGAGGACCTTTGGTCATTGTGAATGCAGCTCACCTGGGCTTCCCATAGTGGGGGCAACGGTGGGGCCAGGGAAGGGGAACAGCCAACACAGAACTGTGAGTAATGGATGGGCCAAATCCACAGGCAACATCATTCTCCTTGACTATGGTCTCCTTGACTACTTGCCCTCTCTGCCTCTGAGGCTGGGGAAGAGGCTTATGAAGACTGAAGTCTCTCACTAGCCTTTTAAGATACCAAGAAGGCAAGCAGCCATGAAGTGAGAGAAGAAAGGAACTCCACCCTGAGTGAGCCTGAAATGCTGGTTGTCCCCGTGCCCAGACGAGGCAGCAAGCTGCATGGCAGGGTTAAACCATGCTTACTAACCCATTTGGGATCTAAGCACTTAAACCACACTCCTTGGCCAAACACAAAGTAAAATCTTCCATTTGAGGATGAGGAAGGCTCCTTGGCAGGCAGGCAAAATGAGGATGACTTAATGTAGTTCACAAATGCGCTTTCACAGAACAGGCCCTTCAAAAAATACAGTTTTTAATGGGGTGATGAAAATGTTTTGGAACTCAGCTGAGACGGGGGTTGTGCCACACTGTGAATGTACTCAACGCCACTGAATCGTACCCTTCAAAATGGTTATTTGATGCTGTGTGAATTTCACCTTATTTTAAGAAACATACAGGACTACGAGTGTGCAAAGCTGGAACCTTGAAAGTATTCACACACATGCACACATACACACTCAGAATAACAGGTTTCTTTGAAATTCAGAGAGGTACGGCACGCAACAGAAATGCCTGCAGGCCGTCCCTGGAACCCAGCACACCAGCTCCCCGAGACCTGCATGAATCCTCCCGGCACGCTTCCCCGTAGCCGAGCACTCGAGCTCAGCTCATCCTCCTTCGTGCCTGTTTTATACCCCCTTCTGCCTGTTCTGCATTTCTTCCTTCATCTTCTCCCCGCCAGCTGGCCCTCTTGGACTCCAGGAGGCTCCCCACAGAGCTCCTCCAGGCCTAGAGCAACTAACCACATCACAGCCTATAGCCTTATTGACCTCAAAGCTCCGAGAAGAACACCCAGCTCCTGCTCTCACATGACCCCCAACGATCCCACTGAACCTTCACCATCAGCCTGTGAGATGGGGCAGCTCCCACGTTCCTGGTGAAGACACCGAGGCCCCAAGAAGAAGCTCATCACTTGTCCCAAGTCACAGGAGAGGGCGGTGGAAGTGAGGCGGGACTACAGTTCTCCTAACAGCTAGTGCAGGACCCGCCTGGCCCCTCTGTTTTCACCAGGCAGTAGACCGCAGGTTTTGGACACAGACCTTTCAGTCTTTGAATCACAGGCTTATTAGCTCTGCTGCCTAGTATTTTCTGTTTCCTTTAGCTATGAAATGAATAACTAATGGATGTTCCTCTTCCGCTGTTGGGAAGGTTAAACGAGCTAAGGCATGAACGGCACTTAGCGTGTGTGGTGGCTGCCAGCTGCCAGCCGCACCCAGTAGCCATCCTTCTGCACTGAGTTTCAGCAGGTTTGGGGCAGAGGAATAAATGGGCAGGAAGTGAAGACTGAGGGTGAAATCAGCTTCGTGAAAAACACACTAAGTTTTGCTGGCTTAATAAGTGCTTATGTTTATTTCTATGGTAGACAAGGACTGAAGTCTGGTATTTGAGCCAAATACCTGAACATAACTAAACCAATACAGCTCAAATATGTTTTGTTTTGTTTTGTTTTAAACCAAACAACAGTTATTGAGACCTAGGAAGTTTAACAGTCAAGATGCAGAGGGACTGAATGTGGTCATAGTGCCCACGCACGCTCGCACTGCAGACAGCCACAAGCAGTTTTCAGTGGCCACCAGGACAGTGCTAGTGAGACCACGTCCACACCAGTGTCCTCTGTGTTCCAAGCTCAGCCAACCAAGGATGCGGACTTCCCACCGTGAAGAACCTGGTCAGGGAGGCAGGGCATTTACAAAGTGAACCAAGAGCCGGGACCACACGATCAAAGAGAAGCAACACTACAGGCAGACGAGAAAACTAGCACTAACAACAAAATTTTATAGCAAAAGCACCTAATAAAGGTCATTCCAGTGGTTCCAAGAGTTTCTGTATCCTCATAAACTCCCTGGAGGCAGTGCTGGGACAGGCACTGTCATCCTGATCTCTGGGACAGTGTGGGCTGCAGCCCAGCCCAGGGCAACTGGGTGAAATGATGGCAAAACTATCCCTGGGGCAGGTGGGCGGGTCAGGAGCAGAGCAGGAGTCCTTTTCAAGCTCTGAGGTGTGGCCCCTGCGGTCTGACCATATCGCACAGGAACCCACGAGGCTCCAGCTCTTGGCCCTGCCCTGTGTCACCCACTGTGGTGAGTCCGGCTGTTGGGTCAACCCCTCTACTGAGTCTGTGTTACGTGCTGCCTAGGAAGCCAAACAGCACACAGCTCCTTCAGAGAGCAGCCAGCTTAGCTGGTAAAAGCCTGGCAGCGGGAGGCAGTCACTGGAATGACGGGTTCAGATCTGGAGCCAGAGGCCTGGTCAGAGGTCCAGCATTACCTCTCACGGGCTGTGCAGGCTGTACATATATCTCAGCATATCTCTGAGTCTGTTTTCTCATCCATTTAAAAAAATAGAGGAGAAAGGGTAGGACAATATCTCCTACCTCACAAGGTTGAGGTTTGGATTAAGTGGCATAAACAGGTCCAGAGAAGGCCTCAAATGTAGGCACAAAATTAATGACAAGAGACACTTACATTAAATGCCACAGGAATTCTGGTCCAGCTTTGCAGGACTAGAAAAGGCTGCATGAAACACCGTGTCCTACCTGGGGCCCCTCCCCCTCCCGCACCCAAACACACGCCATCTCTTTACCTAGGAACACTGTCCAGACCCTCCCCCGACCGCCACGAGGGCTGAACGTGCTCCTTCCAGCCTCCCATTGTCACTGACACCTGTAGATACAGTTAACAAGTCTAGGAGAACTACCGTAAGATCACCTAATAATTTGACATGAGGCCACATTTTGAGAATTAAATTAACAAAAGTTGAACTGTAATAGTTACTAGTCATCGGTAGTGTGGGCCACACTGAGCTGACGGAGACAACCCAACACCCCCAGACCCATCAAGGTGACTGGAGTGTAACTGAAGAAAGCTGCAACCCAACGGGTATGTTTCGGCCTGTCTGAGAAAGAGTAACTGAAAAGCCAGGGTCTATCGGCCTCTACACAGACTCTCTAGCAAAGGCAAGATTGCAGAATGAGAATATTAGCACCTCTCCGGCCCTGCCCACGGCAGGATGCCGGGTTGGTGGGCACACACATCCTGGTCTCTGGAAAGTGTGCTCTCATGAAATGGAAAGTTCATCAAGTGGCTTCAGGACCCAGAAGAAGAATAAGTCTCCCTAAGATTTCTAATCCCTTTTGCTACAAATTCTCAATCCCAAACAAGCATCTTATGAAAGCATTTTTTTAGGGACCCTGATGCTAAGGAAAGGAACACATAGGATAGCAGGCATCGGAAAGGATGTCCGTCACTGTGACCTTGTTTTTTTGTATCTATGGCTTCTGATTATTTAAAAAATGGGAAAGACTTCAGTTAAATCTCAGCTGACTGAACATAGGCACTTATCTCTGATATCTCCAAAATTCTCTAACAGGTACAGTAATTTTTAAAAAGGCATAAAATCACAAGAACCAAGCAAACAGGAAAGGAGACAACAGTAACAGGATTTTAGAAGCCTGAAGACAAAAGACAGAGTTGGAAGTGACTCAGCAGACCCAGGGAACCAAATCCGGGGTCGGCAGAGACAGGGGCTGGGGGAGGAAAGAAGCACCTCTTTCTCCAC